AAACGTGAAATGTCTAACAATTGACAATCATATTCACTATAGCTGTAAACAGACACTTGGCCGAGTTCTATATAGCCACTACGACCGAGTAGATATGCTTGTTGAATTTCAGTGACAGGAAATGGCTGGTGTCTGTTGGCGATGTCGTTGGTGTAGGGTGGCCGTTCTGGGATTGGTGTATGTGTGCTTTTAGGGTGCTGATCAGTAGTTTTGGTCTTGGTTAGTGTAGCAATTTTGTGTAGTGGGTAGGTCAGAAAATCGAGAAGTGGGAAGTATGTGCTGGTGTGTCTAATAAGCTGTCTATGTAATTGAAGTATTGTTAGTGAGTCGAAGCCGCTTTGAAGTAGGCTGCTGTTCCAGAAGTCGGGGTTGTAGGGTTGTTGTTGTTTTTCGAGAATTGCTTTTATGATGTTGTTTTCTGTAGGAAGACAGTTCTGTGTTAAGTCTGTAGGGGTTGGTGAATTGTTTGGGTTTGGCTGGGTCATTGTGTTGAGTTTCTAAAGTGGAAAGTTCGCAGCGTCGGTTGCTGTTTTGAATAACATAGTTAGTTTTGGTTTGTTTTGTTAGGTTACTTCCTCTGGTTCGTTTGTCAAGAGTTTAAGGGGTAGCAATTGTTCAGAGTGATTAGTGTTTACTGATCAAGGGGTTTAAGTAAAGTTAGTATCGTTTTCCGCGAGAAGGTGTTGGAAGTAGTTCCCAGGAAATAGAATCTGGTTAAATTTGGCCAAATAGTAAAACTGAAAGATTCACAGTAGCGATAAACGATCAGTTTTAAGGATTCTTTGTGCGAGAGGAAACAGAATGAAAGAAAACAACTGACTATTTCACGGTGACTTAACCAGACACCTAACACGATATACAAAAGTGAGCCCAAAACATACTTTTCGTCCTTTTGAAGAAGGATAAATTGCTTCAGAACAGAAAACATTTTTGGGATCTACGGTTCAAAATTGGCATCCGAGATACCAATACGCCTGGTTGAAAGAATTTTTACACATGGTTTTATTCTAAAGCCGCCGGTCCCCAAGTCATAAAATTCTGCAATACATCTTATTTTGTTCAGAATATCTTTTCATACCAATGTATGCCACAGCGAAAAAAGAACTACTTCCGAATCATATGGTATAACCACCATATTCCTTATGACATTTATAAATCGCTATTAATCAGTCGTTTTGAATCAGTAAATGTAGTGCACAAAATAATCAGTTTAATATCTGTATGGATGCATTTCTCTGTCTCTCAAAAGCATCTATTACGGTTAAAACTCTTGTATATAATCTCCTTTCTTTTTTTGTAAAGGTGTGTCTAAGAAACAGCTTGTAGTGACATCAACCCCTAGGGTAAGACCATGCCGAAATAGACATGACCCACATGAGCTTTTATTTCTAGTTTTAATAAAGTGCCCACAATTCAAGAATGCAACACTATCTCAGCTTTTGGTTGAAAGCTACCTATTCAGATAGCCCTGGCTGAGCTGATTCCGAATATCACTTTTTTATTCGAATTCGATCAACTTTTGGGGGAGAAATCCTCAAAATATTGAGAGCACCTAAAAAACAAAGGATTTGCATCACTTTGAGGAAACTTGAAATTTCGTCCTCTTCCGCTCACTGTAACTTTCTGAATTTGATATATTCGGATTCACCATCGAAAACTGCGCCTAATCATGTGTCTTTAAGCCACAAAGAACAAAATCCCCGTGTTGAAGAATTTCGACAAGAGTAGGTGAGCGACATCATAGACTACTTTTCTCGCAAACCTATCTCCTCCGTGATTTTGGAACTTTTTTCCAATCGTCATACGCCATCCGAACTGGCATTTAAAGCTGAACAAAAGTATGCATTGCTTATTTTCCAATATTGTTTTATTACCGGGAATACCCATTTTTTTCCATTCCAGTGCCAAAATCGCCAAAAAATGAGGTCGTATTTTGAGTTGAGTGAAAACGATACAAAATAAAAATCTGCATAGTCAAACATGAATCTCAAACCCGACATAAGATTGTTGGATGAATTTAAAAATACTGTGGAGTGATAAAATCCATATAGATTGCTCATAAAAGAATCATTAATAAACAAAGCTTATGAATCTTCTCTTAATTTGACAGCACATTCAGTATCAATGATTGTGTATCCTGAAGGCTTGCCGAGTTGTCTGGTATCTGAGCCTAATGGCTAAGCCATATAACATTTATGTGGTAAATACAAATATATGACATTCACTTACTACATTCATATTCAGTATTTTCTTATACGATGATAAATAGAAAGAAGGCGAACTTTCTTTTTCAAAACTGAAAGAAACAAAAAACATGTCGTATTTCTCTTTGCTTCTCTTTTCTTTCCGTTTCACCCTTGCTTCACATACATATGTTGTAGCCAAATTTAAAATCGGAATGGCTATTGCCACCACCGGTGGTGTCAACAAGGAGCTATTGCCACCACCGGTGGTGTCAACAAGAAGCTATTGCCACCACCATGCAAAATCAAAGAGTAGGCGGTGTTAACTACGGCTATTGATCAAGCTAATTTTTAAGAATGGGACTGTCTACTGCTGAGGGGTACTTAATCCTGAAGGCTATCGGTTTGCAACTTCTGGGGCCATGCTAATGGTGTCAACTACGGCTATTGCCACCTCCAAGCAAAATCAGAGAGTAGGTGGTGTCAACTACGGCTCAAGCCGTAGTTGCTACTTCGTCTCTCCAGAGAGTGCAGTTTTGAGCAGATGATAATTTGTTATCTAAGAGAATTTTTTTGGGTAGCTCTATTTCCACCACCGGTGGTGCCAACTAGAAGCTATTGCCACCACCGGTGGTGTCAACAACGAGCTATTGCCACCACCGGTGGTGTCAATTACAGCTATTGACACCACCAAAAAAAAACTACGGCTCAAGCCGTAGTTGACACCACCTACTCTCTGATTTTGCTTGGTGGTGTCAATAGCTCCTAATTGACACCTCCTGGTGGTGGCAATAGCTCGTTGTTGACACCACCGGTGGTGGCAATAGCTTGAATGAAGCGTTCAAGAACTTTACTGAGAATACTCAAAAGCGATATTGGCCTATAGTTATCGACAATCGCTTTGGGCCCTTTCTTATGCACCGGTGTCACATTCGCAATTTTCCATAAGGATGGATGGGTGCCAGTTTTAATGGAAAGAGAAAAAAGATGTTCAATTTGATCGATTAAAAATGGGACACATTTTTGTAAGAACGTAACCGGTATATTATCAGGTCCCGAAGCTATGTCACTTCTTAAACTACCGATAACGTCTAAGATAGTCTGTTTACTTGGTGGAGCAATACTAAATGTATCATTGATAAGACTCAATGGACAAGGACACGGACCATGCTTGGGAATGAAACACTCAGAAAAATATTGATTAAACATTTCGGCCTTAGAATCGTCCGTAGATGCAATAGCCTTTGAGCTTTTATTTGAAATGCTTGCTGGAAGGTAGAGTTCTGCGTGATTGATTTTTTTGCTCACGATCACGATCACGATTACGGTTGAAATGTAAGTTTTACGCACGATCACGGTTTTTTTTAAACAATGGCAACCACGATCGCGATTACGATGGTTTGCAAAGTTATAATCACATTCACAATCACGATCACGAACTTTTCACGATCATCTGTAAGAGTATTTTATTACACCAATATTCGATTGGATGAATAAAATATCCAATCCAAAAACAAAATTGGCGAGTTTTATTTTGTTTGTTCTTATCAAGAAAGGTTGTAATCGTGAAAGGAAGGTTTCTAACATATTTCGCAAAGGGTATTTTCTACCTAATACAATTATTTTCATTTATTCGTGACGTTTCGAATCACATCATTCTTTCTTTTTCTTTTTCTTTATAACAGTGGTACGGACAAAACGGCAATAGTCTGGTACGAGAAAATAGTAGAATTTTCTGTGTCCGTTCTACTATTTTCTCGTACCAGACTATTGCCGTTTTGTCCGTACCACTGTTATAAAGAAAAAGAAAAAGAAAGAATGATGTGATTCGAAACGTCACGAATAAATGAAAATAATTTTATTAGGAAGAAAATACCCTTTGCGAATTATGAAGAAAGGATATCGAAATTATATTTTTGAATAAATCAAATTTTGAACGTATACTCCACAATCGTGAATACGAAACTATTTAGTTTGGAACACGATCACGATCACGATCATAGAGAAAATGCTTTTGTCGCTCACGACCACGTTCACGATCATGAGAAACCGTCTCAACCACGCACGAACACGGTCACGATCACGATCGTCCGTGATCGTGAAATTATCGATCACGCAGAACACTACTGGAAGGTCATTACCCCCAGTTCTAACACGATTTATCCCACTCCAGAACTTTTGAGGAGTTTTTAAATGATCAGATAGTTCTGCCAGATGAGAGCGTTTACATTTTTCCAACTCGTACGTTGCTGTGTTTCGTAATTTTTTGTACTTAGTAAGTAAAGATGATGAAAATAGTTTATGAAGTCTTCGGAAACAGATGTCACGCTTTCGACGAGCTTCTTTGAATTTTGTACTAGGACGGAAAAATAGGGTGGGACGTTGTCTTTGACATTTTAAAGGTACAAATTTATGAACGAGACAGTCCAAAGTTTTCTGAAAAGAAAAGAGAGCTGTCTCGGCATCCTCAATCTCAAGAAATGCAGACGAGGTGATAGACGATAATGCCTGCGATAAACCTTCCCAATTGCAATTCCGAAAATCAAGTTTTAATAGCTTATTAAACAAGTTTCAATAGTTTTAATAGCTCCCCAGGAATTTTTATACAACTTTGAAAAGTTTGTACTACTTGTGACAGATTTGAAAAAAATGATGGTGGGGAGCTCAGCTCCTCTAGGACCGAAATCCTGGCTCCACCACCACTCAGGCAGGTGTACTCAGGCAAGCAGTTATTAAAAAAGACATATTTGATAGTATTCTTAAAGTTTTACGTGCAGAGAAAGGTAAGAGTGTGGAAGGCGTGAATGGTTCATTTGTGTTTTGGAGTCGGAAGAATTTCATATTGCGTATCAGTAGAGTTATATGAAAAAAATTATAAAAGTTGAAATTTACAAAAGTATGCACGTCTTATCTTTTTTAATTTCATACTGCTGTGAAAATCTTATTTTTACTTTAATCTTTGAGTCGTGAACGACCAGTATCAAAAGAAGTACTCAAATTGTAGTAATCAAAAGCTCGAAAAGTTACTTAAACTCTAAACCAAATGCTTTTCTACAGCTTATTAAACATTTTTAACTAGATCATGGACCGCATATCGACCTCATTTTCGTGTATTTTTTATTCATTTTTAGGAACATACAAATCTTTGAGACCAGAACAACGAACCGAGCAACACTGAAAACTTAAACAACTGTTAGCTATCATCATATTTTAAATTTCTTTCCCAAAAGCAACAGTATTAGAAAATCAACTAACTTAAAATTTATACGGGACTCTATTTATTACTACACACATACACTCAGGTTCCTCCTTATACCGAAGGAAACTCAGACATGTTACCCACTCAGTTTAGAACCTATTCCCAAAACCTGTTGTTCTTTTACCTGGAATAAATGCTGCATCTAAAAATTTGTATTCACATTCTAGAAGAAATACAAAATTTAACAGACGCGTTCGAAGATGATAGGTCTTCCTTCATCTTTTCAGAAACATTATATTGTGGTGGATTCTCTCTTTCCTCGAAGAACAGACGAAACCTGTCTCATACCGAGTGGGGGATTGACTCATGGAAACAGATCGGAGATGAAAAATGCAAAGCTAATATACTCTACCTTAAATAATGCTTTAAACAAAAGCACGACTATTGTTGTTAAACTATTGTGTGAAACTATGAAAAGAAAATTTCACTTTCTTACAAAGTCTCTTGTGAAATAAGAAGGAAAAATGAAGCAGAAATCGAGATATGCGTAAAGGTATGTGTTTTCTGTGTTGGCCAAGAAACAGTTTAGCTCTAATGAGTTTAGTTCGAATGAAAAAGACTCTTATTGGTTTGTCCACTTCTGTTTTCCTTTCAAATAACTTGAAATGTGTTACTGGTTAGAGAAGTTTGGAAGTATCATGAAGAAAGGTCTAGGCAGAATACAAAAACACAAGAAAGAACAGAAAAAAATTCTATTTAAAGCAGCTCTTGTTCCTTCATTCTGCCTCTGAGAACTTTCTTCATGATGCTTTCAAAATTGTCTAACCAGTAACACATTTCAAGTTATTTGAAAGGA